TCTTTTGCTAAACTGTGAAGGTTTAAATATAAATATAAGTTCCTTCATATGAAGAGTTAACATTTTTTTTTCTTAAACCTGTCCTTTTCTCACCAGCATACTCCCATCCCAAATGTCTTAAATCAAAGTCTCTTATTAGCTGATTCTTCCTCCAGTTTCCGCTAGGGGGTCTCCCACCCTGGTTGCATGTCTCAGAAAACTGCTACTGTACCTCAAGTTGGGAATATTTAATTTCTTCCCAGATAGATCAGGCACCCATTTGCGTGTTTATAAAATTGTGCAAAGATAGCCATTGAAAGCTGCCAATATTCTTTTTTTCTTGTTTCATTATAAACAAGATTTTTGGTAGAAGAAAACTGTCCTCCAGCAATAAAAAGGATTAATTTATATTTATATTTGGTAGCAGCAGTTCCACAAAGCTTATGTTATTATTACAGATATACTCTGTAACTTAGATATATGTAACTTAGATGTGCACTTAGATATACTCCATATACATTGGGCTTCCAAATTAGCAATTTTTATATGTTTGTTTTTATAATAACAATAATATAATAACGTGTATTTCGCTGTGCCCTCAAAACCTTGTTGTTCCGCCAGGCCGGACTATCAATGTAAAGATTTTAATTGGTTTTAAATGTGGGATTTTAAATTTGGGGTTTTATAATTGAGCCAATTATTTAATAATTTTAATTATTTTTAAATTTTGTCTGTCTCCCTGAGTCCTTCGGGAGAAGGGCGGTATAGAAATAAAATTATTATTATTATTATTATTATTATTATTATTATTATTATTATTATTATTATTATTATTATTACCTATTGGGTAAGCAGGAAATTGTTTTCATTTTAGAGAGAGAAGAGGACCCAAAAAGAAAGATCACAACTTGTTCAAGAAGATTTGCTTCTATCTTTTTTTAAACCAGCAAAATATTGAGATGTTTTAGATAGCAAGTAGTTAAAATCAGCAAAATATATGAAGATTTCATTTTAAAAAAATGTTTCCTTATGTAAAGGGACAGGTAGTAAACAGGTCAGTCTGACTTGCTAAAATTAAAGAAAATCTATTTTGTCATATATTTTATTCTCAACACAATCCTCAATAATTTTGCCCTATTTGGTTTTAAGTACTGTTATAAATTGTCCATAGTGTCAATAATGAATATATAAATTGCTCTGGGACTCAGAATGGACTTTAGAATGGCTCTAAACCAGTCTTCCATAAAGTGTTCCATTCTCTTTAATTCCTTGCTGATATATCACAGACATTTACTGCAATTCTGTTTTATTTTTCGCTAAAACAACTTTTCAGTGATTCATAGGAAAACTCAAGGATAACGTATTGACTGAAATATCCAAGATTAAGTCAGTGTTCCTTAACACTCCTGTGTGAATGGAGGAACCAGATAAAGGTTGTGCATGTGGAAGGACACAAAAAATAGAAATGCACTAAAATATGGGCAACATTTTCTATCTTAGCACTAGCTGTCCATCAGCACAAATATTTAGCGAGAAAGGACAAGACTTCCAAGTCAGGTATTTTTCAAAGGAATTAACATTCCCTTCATCTATAACATAAATTCCAGATCACATTGACATTTTTTTCTTGAAAATATATTTTTTTTGTAGAATAGGACACATATTACCCAGATATGTTTGCAATCATAGTTTGGTACAGAATTCAAGTATAGTTATTTGCAGACCCTAGAGAACTTTTCATTGGTCCTTTGTTTAAATAACCATATTAATTGCCTCTTGCATAACATTAGCATTTCCTCTGCATACAAAAATGTTTTTGCATGTTAAACTAAGGAGAGAGCAGTAAATTCAGGTTATTTTATGAGCAAACTATTTAGGTCTTTAATTGAAAAATAAGAAGCATCTTTTGTGGAAGTAAAAGAATTCACTTTTTATTCTGAGTGTTGTTTAAGTACTTCTCTTACACCTGGGTGGTCTAAAAAAGGACTATAGTAGTTCTTTGGCAGGCTTCGTCTTTGTAATTGATTTTGTTCAGAAAGAAAACTTTATTGTTGCTACTTACACTGCTCGCATTCCTCATGGCTTTGTGCTTTTATTTTCTTCTGCTTAACTGGTAAAAATGGATGCTGCTTTGAGTTCTGCTCTTTTGAATTCCTGGGTTGTTTTTGAAGAAGACTTCCTCTTTCCTTGCTGTATCTGTTATCTTAATGCATCTGTTAACCTAACCAGAATACTTTTCTTAACTTTCTCTCTGTTTCAAGGTGGATTCTCATGGAACCAAGAGTTATTATTAAAAAACATTTGCAAACATATCACTCACCGCCCTAAAATAGAATCCTATTTCAACGCCTTCCCAGAAACCTTCACCAGCCAAACTGTAGCCTTCCCCAGCAGAAGTGGAGAAAGTGTAGCATGCCAAAGGATGCCTGCAAAAACATGCTGACTCAGTTGGGTGTATCCCAAGAAACGTATTTAGAACTCCCCAGGGAGAAAAGACGCCTGGACATGTAAGGTTTAGAGTGGGCTAATGGGAAGCGTAGAAAGGATTCTCCCTTTGTTTCTCCACTAGTCCCAAACACCCTTCAGAAATAACAATCACACCTATCTCATGGGCCTTGTGGAAAGATTGCAAGCCAATATTGCGAAGGGTCTGCTCTGAGACGGCAACCTTGGACCTAGATCATCCGCAAAAAAATATTGTTTGAAACAAAATAACCCACAAAATTATCTATGCAATGCATTGCAAATGTGTCGTTTCAAAGGTTGCACAGAGGTGGAAAAGGGTAACCTAAACACAAAAAAACAGGCACTTTGTTTTGGATCTCTTGGATGGTTGAGGTCTTGATTTTGACTTCTCCTCTAGCCCTGACTGAATTGCTTATCTGCTTATTGGTCATCCTGGCATTTTCTCCTCATCTTCCTTCCTCATCTTCTCCTCATATTAATAATTGGAGGGTGACCAATCACGGATGTGCATAGCTCCAAAGGTTTAGTTTCTTATTTGAACTTTTAAATTATTTTCTTTTATCTATGTCATAAGGTTGTGTACTTCCAAGTAAGCATGCTCAGTGTCAAGATACAGACAAATCCCTTGAGAATAACATTCTGATTTACATGAATTTAAAACATGAGTATTTTCTTTCTTTCATTCATTAGGAAATCCAGTACTAGTCAAGCTCAGTATACCAGTGAGCATGCGGAATAAATTTTAGCTATGGGTTTTTCACCAGGAATAATTTTTAATTTTTCACTGGGAAGAAATGTTAGCTATGAATTTTTCTGTGGGGTCCATACACACACACACACACACACACACACACACACATACATATATACATATACATACATACATATATATAAAACCACCAAGCTCAGAGAGCACCAAGGACCCTCTTCCCCCCAGTTCAACTCTAGCTACAATATTTTCTTCTATTGGTATTAATTTTTCATCAGAAATAGTACACCAACATCTGAAGGGGATTCTGGGAAGTCTACTAGAGGGAATTACAATTAGTTGCATACTGATTTTTTTCTGAAAATATATACTAGCAAGATCCAACCAATTTTTTTAAAATAATTGTGATTAAAATTTAAATTGTGTTGTGTGATTAAATCAAGATTAGGGAAGCCTGACTTACTATCATGTGTTAATAGGTAAATTAACTCTATACATGAAATTAAGGTTTGATGGGTGTGTGTGTGGTATACTTGTGGTATAGAGTTGACTATATATGTTTACACAGATCCTTTTGGGTTTTACTGACCTGAATATTTTGTATTATCTTTAAACTTGGCCATCTCAGTGCTCATCCGTAACTTAAAATAACTAACTTCTGGTTAAGAAGCCCCAATCCCAACACAAATCCTTGAAGAATGCCACTTCTTTCACTTTTGAAATTTTTATTTAATTTATTTCCCTCATCTATTTTCTGCTTTTAACCAGTTAACAATCCATGACAGGACAAATTCTCTTTTCCAATTTCTTCTAAGTTTACTCATGAGTGTTAGATGAGAAACTTTGAAAATCTACATATAGTGGCAGTGGAACCTCTGCACGCATTGTCTTCTGCTAAAAATCTGGTCAGGTGGCATAATCTGAGGCATGCCAAAATGGACCTGGAGAGCCATTTGCCTTGGAATATCTCTGCCTCACCTTTCCCTACACTTATTTTGGGGCTTTCAAACTATTGAGATTAGAAAGTTCATTCCAGAGACAAATGCTGGATTTCCTTCTTTGAAGCTGGATCCCCCCCATGCTGAGTTTGGAGAGAAAATTCTTGACAAGATAAATCAGTATTCTGGCATCCAACCTCGTGATTGAGCCAAGGTGGCACAGTGGTTAGAGTGCAGTACTGCAGCTACTTCATCAGCAGATCAGTGGATCAAATCTCACAGGCTCACTTGACTCAAACTTCCATCCTTCTGAGGTGGGTAAAATGAGGACCCAGATTGTTGGGGTCAATATGCTATTTAGTATACTGTCTTTGGTGTAAGCCGCCCAAAGTGGGCGGCATAGAAATATGACTAAAAAATAATAAATAAATAAATAATGATGAAATCTATGGGTTTCAATTGCAAGTAGGTGAATTCACTGTGAAAGTTACTTAACAGGGAGATGGGTGACATATACTATTTTAATATATAAATAATATAAAAATAAGAAGTGACCATGTTTTACTTGGTGAACTATAATTTTACTTGATGAACACTATCATTTTATTTCTGTTTAACTGGTCTCACTATAATGTTTACTGTTTGAGATCTTTTGAAAGTATTGAATTATAGCATTAAAATATCATGGAAAAATATTATCAAAAATTGTTTTGTGTGTTTTTAAATTAGATCAACAAGGAACCTCCATCAAGTGGAAGATATGCTGGGCTATCAATCCCAATGTCTTCAACCAGCATGATTCTACAGGCTGTGGATGATGGGAATTATAATCTGAATACATCTATGGAGTCTTATATTGAGGAAGGGCGATCTAGATAGTAATGTAGCTAGAAAGGAAGACAAAGAGGTTCAAGAGGTTTTTTTTATTCCCATGCTCTTAATTTTCAAAAAAATCACGAAAACATAACTTATAAAACAATATATATACTGCATCCTCCACAACAGCATTATTGAAACATCCAGCGTAACGGTTACCACAGGTGGGGATACACTGGGAAAGAAGTACCTTGTGCATTTTATATTATGTTTCTTTGTCATCTACAGGTAATAAGTATCAACAGGAAAAAGCAACAAGTATGTCTGCGAGAAAACTTCATATGTGTTTTGTATGCGTATTAATATTTAAAGATCATATTTATCATTTTCATATTTTTTAAAAATTTCCAACAAAAAAAATCCTTTTAAGTATTATCTACACTTAACACATAACATCTTTTAAAAGATTTCTTGTTTGGGTTCCTTACTTGTATTGATTCATCTAAATCCAAAACTGGAGAAACAAAGTAATTTAATCCCCCACCCCAAATTTATTTTACCCATCCACGAGGTCACTTCCTCTCCTTTATTTAAGATGCAGTATTTTCCGATGCTCCTTTTCTTTTTCCTTTCTCTCTTTCTTTCATATTTCCCTTAAAATTCTCTACGAGAATCCTTTCCTTTTTTAATTTTTAAATTAAAAAAAAAAACTCCTTTAAATAAGGACGGACGATAATTTGATTATCAGGGTAAGACTCTGAAAGGGAAGGAGGGGTGGGTGGGTCTCTATAAAGGTCCTTTTTTTTTTGAAGAGAGACTAGAGGGATTCCGTACTGCAGGCTTCGTAGAGAATGAAGAGGTAGGAAAAGGGACCTTTTCAGCCGCGAACTTGTAGTGCTGGGAACGGTAGAATCCCCCCCCTCCCCAGAAGCTTCCAGCTTGAGAAACAAAATCCCGCCGAGAGTCACGCACTGGAGAACCGCCGCCCATTCAACGACGAAGCGCAAGGGAAAAGCGAAGATAAATAGAGCGCCTCGGAGAAGCGGGTTCGCCCCGCGGCTGCGGCGTTGGCTCAGAGGGTTCCGTCCTTTGGCTTTGCACGGGCGACCCCTCCCCGTCGAACGATCCCCGTCCCGCCCAGGAGCGAACCCGGAGCCCCGCCTCCTTTCTTCAGCGAAGGGACCGCCACCCCACCCGAAGGGCGCTCGGAGCTCCTCAGCAAAGTCACTCTTTCGTCCCTCTGCCCCCCCCCTTCCCACACACACACACACGCCTCCACCGTTACCGTATCTTCTGGTCGTATAAAGTGGACGATTGTTAGGAAGGAAAGTCTTGTGCAAGTTCAAGTAAACACGCATACAAAACCCGCATCATCCAGAGGAGAAAATTAAAAAAAAAAAAAAAACCATTGCAACTCATCCCTGTGTTTTAGGTCCGGTCGGGCCCCTCCCTCTCTCTCCTCGCCGGCCACGGCTCGTCCGTCCGTCCGTCCATCCGTCTGCCCGCTCGCCCGTCCACCCCATTCCTCCTCCGGCGCGTTTCCCTGCCCCTGAGCGCAGCCGCGGTCCCTTTTCAGGAGGCGGAGGCCGGTCAGCTGTTGTACTGGCAGGCGTTTAGAGTGGAGCCGGGGCTCTGCAGGCTGCCGTAGCCGAAGTTCGAGTGCTGCTTGGACTTCAGCCTCAGGCTGGCCAAGCTGGAGTTGCAAGTGTCCCTGTAGACGCTGTAAGGGGAGCCCGGCGGGCCGTAGGGGCAGGCGGGAGTCGACATGGCCGTGTTGAGGGACGAGCCGCTCAGGTTGTTGAGGCCGGAGTTGGCCACGCCGGGCACGGCCGAAGGGCCCATGGAGGAAGGCATGCTCATGGAGGGCAGCGTGCTGGGCGCCGAGAACATGGACTGGGCCGACGACAGCGGGCTCATGGAGTTGAAGAAAGTGAAGCTCTTGGAGGAGAGCGGCGCCGGCGCCAGGCTCTTGGCGTGCCAGTAGTTGGACGGGTAGCCCGGGTAGACGTCTTCGTAGGGCTGCATCAACCCGCTGAACTGCGGCACGTAGCCGTTCTTGCAAAGGTCCATCTGCTGGTTGCGTTCCCGCTTCCGCCACTTCGCGCGACGGTTCTTGAACCAGACCTGAGGGGAAGAAAGGGGCGAAGAAAAGACCAAAAAAAAAAAAAGGGCCCAGAGGCTTAGAAACGGCCATTGGCAGGCACTCGCGACGCAGACATTAACGGGGGGGGGCCTGCCTGCCTAAAATTAGCACCTGCCTAAGGTAAAGGAGAGGGGGAAGGGGGGAAGCCCCCCCCACGGTCCACCCTGCTGTCCCTCCAGGTGAAACTTAGGAAGCCTAGTGAGGATTTCTCTAAGGTGGTCCCTGCCTGGCCCACCATCCTGAGATGTGTCTATCTATTAGACACAACCTGAGGACATACTGGAACAGACACCTTGTCATTTCAACTCTGAGGACCTGGTTAACTAAGGGGAAGCTAAGCAAGGCTGGTCCTGGTTATGAGACACACACACACACACCTCTTTTTTCAAGACTACTGCATGGGCTAGACTGGAAAGTTGAAAAAACTTCTTAGAAGAAGGCCAAATCAAATAATTTCAGTGCAATAATATTGGTAAGGAAACTATCTGATTCACCAGTGGAGTGGAGTTGAGGGAGATTTCACCTTTCCTTATAGGATGCAAGATAAAAATGGTGATTTGCTGGGAAATCATCTGCTGTGGTTTTTGAACATTTTGTTGCGTGGCTGTTTTTCTACCCACCTGCCCTAAATTGCAGTGTTGAAATGAATAAAGCTTTGAGTGACCAGGGGCTGCATCTTCATGGAGAAAAATTGGGAGATCCCTTCAAGCTCAGACACATAGAGCAAAGTCATGAACTGGGAATTTCTACGTTCAAATGGTGCTCTTTCATGACACAGTGAAGGATTCCAAGAAAAACAGGGTTCCCGTGAGCTTGAGATTTTCCTAGACATTATGGCAAGACACAGAGAGCAATCCCCCAATTAATAATATAACTGATTAAAGATTCCAACCAGGACTGGGGTTCCCATCATGGCATTGTGGGCTCCAAAGGGCCCACACAGCCGATGGCAGGGCCATATTTCCTCTTTAGTTTTAATTATTGTTACTTTAATCTAAATAAGAAAAAGAAGAAGAGGATGGATAGCTTCAAGGTGGTTAGAGTCAGTTACAGAGTATACAGTAGGAAGAGCCGAATGACCAGGTTGGGGATAGATCAATGGAGAAAATCTATGTAGTCCCTAAAAATCAATCATCACATTGACATTTTGCAAAGTAAATTGTCCATCTCCAGTATGCCTTAATTTCTAAGAATGCTTCTCCTATCTGTATACAAAATAAAAATGGTCAGCAGCTGCAGCCCATTTGGAAATGCTGCTCAAGGAAAAGACAATCTTTTGTAAGAGGCTTTGGGGAAGAGTAAACAAAGACACAGTATTCTTTGCCCCCCAGCTCTCAAGATTCCAAGGCTGCCCACTAGCTAGGAGCTAGCTATTCCCTGACCGATCTACAGACTGATCAGCATGATTCAGAACTGTCTCGGTTAGCTTGTTAAGAAATCCCCTGCTGGATCTTTTCTCAAAACTGAATATGGTACAATAGTTTGGAAAAGAAGGGAACCTAATGGAAAAGTTGTTCAGCATTACTTTTCTTCCTGAAAGAAGAGGTGCCAAACTAAATTGCATATTCGTTGGAATAGCCATTCTTTCTCCTTGACCATACACACTTTTGGTTCTGCTAATCTAAGACAATGTAGCTAATCTAAGGCCATTCTGGGCATCTTTGTTCTCATGAGCTAAATTAAGACCTGGGACTGAAAATAACATTCTGGGGTTCAGCCACTTGAGATTCAAATTAAGTTTGGTGTGTAAAGCTTACCTGGTAACTTCTATTGATATGCTATATAACCTTAAATTTTTTTATCCATAGAGATGGGGACTTAAAGGATAGTGGGCTGCTGTAAACATGAGGGATTGTTTGTTACATTGGTTTTGTATTGTGTTGCACCATTCTTTGCCTGTGTCTATATTTCTACTATCTCTTCAGCCAACTCATCCCTCTGATGCTTTCTCCTAAAAGGTCCTGTAGCAACAAGGAATGGTTGAGCAGTTTTCTCAACATTCTGATCAGTTTATTTATTATTGGATATCTTAAAAGTCCAAATTTTACTCTTTCTGGAACAGCTATTTACTTACTTACTTATTTAACTATTTCCCGCCTCTATTATTTTTACTAATAACTCAAGGTGGCAAACATATCCAAAATATCCTCCTTTTATTTCCCCAACAACAGCAATCCTATGAGGTGTGTTGGGCTGAGAGAGCTGTAAGCAAAACTCTGGTTGCAATCAGATCAAAGCTATCAAAGTATAATAAAAAGGCATTAATGTATTCATTACTCAGTACCTTAAACAGGCACATTAATTAATATTTCAATATGCTTTTGGGGAGTCAATAGGAAAAAGATACAGATCTTCCTACTTTTTAGCCTCATCCTAAGCAACATTCTGGAACTTCTTTACTTAAGCTATGAGAAATCTGCACTTTTGCTCTAGTAAGAAAGGCTGCAAATCATTCTAATTGCCTATTTGGGGTATTTGCTGCCATCACAGCTTATACATGCCTGGCCCTGTGTGATTGAAAATAAAGGGATACACTTTAATGTTGATATTAATAAGAATTAATACTTTCAAGAGAGTAGTATTTAAAGTGGAGATAAGATTGGTGCCCCCCAAATGTTCCAGTCTTCAACTTGTCAATCCTAGCCACCATGAAAAGCAACTTCCCATGAAAGAAATTTGCACCTTTAAAAAAAAGCCCCTGTTTTTAAACAGGCTGTACTGGAAAAAGACATCTGATCAATGTTTTCAATAGTTGCCTTTTATCTCCAAAGCAGATAAAGATTGTCACAGATAGCATTTAGTTAGATGGATAGTTGGCATTTCTCTCTGGAGATGGCCTTTTCATTTTGCGATTGGGGCCTTGAAAAATCCCTGCTTACAGATTGCTGCCTTGACTTGGCATCTCCTTTGTTTCCTGTTCAAGATCTCTGGATTTCATTTACTTGTTTCCCTTCCATTAACCACTTTCTGGCCAAACCTCCTGCCCAAACTGCTGTTCTCAGACTGATTCTGGTGGCTTTATCCAACTTAAAAAACAAAAATTCCTTATTTCTGGAAATTAGAAACGGATGGGACAAGTATCCCAAAGGTAGACACTGCCAGCCAGTCCTGGGCATCTTTTGCCTTTCACAAAAAGAGGCATCTGCCCTTACACTGAATGTTCAATATTTACAGTTCTGCTGCTAGAAAAGGGAATCAGTTTAGATACCCGGGGGGAGGGGGTTCCTAAGACAGGGGAGTAGCTGATGCAATCTTTGGGAAAATAAACTTTTAGGAAAGGCTTTCAATTTGTTTTCATGAAAAATCCAGGGATTCAAAAACACCGGAAAAATCACACTCTTTCTGCCTCTTCTAAGAGCAATAGGCCTTAGCCACGTGATTCCTGGGAGAAATATGGCCAGTGGAACTGCCTGCATTACTGGTAGGTTAGGATTTTGATAGGAGTTGGCTGCCAGCTAAGGCAAGCAGATGCAAAAAACTATCTTAAGAGCAAAAACCAGCCAAACTGGGAATCTAACTGCTTTGTGGGAACACTTTTTTCCTAAAGGCAGTCTCGAAAACAAAGCAGTGCCCCTGTAATTCTGCAGGGACTACAGTGCAACTCCCCCCACCTTCTATTGAATCATGTCCGATTCCCGAAACTTCCTGGACGAGTCCCTGCAGTTTCCTTGGCAAAGTTTTTGAGATGGAGTTTGCCCTTGCTTCCTTCCTAGGGCTGAGAGGAAGTGACTGGCCCAAAGTGACCCAGTTGGCTTTCTGCCTAAGGCAGAACTAGAATTCATGGTCACCCAGTCTCTGGTTTGATGACTTAACCGCAACACATAATTGGCACTCATAAACAAAGCAAGAGCTATTTAATTGGCTATGTAATTCCTAAACCCAACTAAGATCAGGCTACACTCATAGGATTGTGGATACCTATTCTGTCCCCTGTTGTAGAAAGTTCTTTGACGATCAAACATGTTTGCTAGTTTGGGGAAAAATTTAACCAAATGAAAACAAAAATGCAAGTTTCAACAAGAAAGAGCAAGAGGAGGAGCTGGCGAGGAAGAATTAGCCGAAACTCCCAGACCTAGAGGAAAAAATGGGGAAAAAGCAATTCACTTCTCAGAAAGTACTTCCAGACATTAGGGGTTTCCCGAAACTGAGGCTAAACATTTTAATGCTGCCTCTAGATATTTTCAAAGTCCTCTTAGCATATTTGGCCAAATTAAAGTTTCAGAAAAATATAACTACAGAAGAGTTTGAGCTAAGATTTGGAAGGAAATGGAGTAATTTATTGATTTTCCCCTACTTTATAAACAGTGGGGGGGAGAGGCTGAAGGAGGGAATTGGGCTGAACTTCTTGGTGGAGGAATCTAAATTAAAGCATCTCAACCAGATGGCTGCTTACCCTCTGTTTGAAGATATCTAACATCCTACTTTAATTTGGAAGCAATCCTTCCCTACTGAAGCCAAGTCAGGCCTCCACATTAAATGCTTCGGGTCAATAACTTTGTATGAATTGCCCCTTCCTTACAGGGCAAACTCATTAAGCATCATAGCACTTCAATGAAAAAACAAAATACACACAGCAGGATTTTAACCCTGTAGCAGTTAATTACATTATATGCAGAATAATTTGGGGATGGACAGAATAGGCCAAATGGCATCAATTTGGCTGAATTATGCCAAAATTAACAACAACAAAAAGTGTATTGCTGCAATCTTTGGGGAAGTGTATCTCTATAGATGTACTCCAAATGGAAATTTCTCACTGATGTTGAGAGCAAATGTGATTAGAAGTGTGTTTTTTCTTTTTCTTTTTTACTTTCAATGTAAAATGCCATTTCTTTCAGCATAGTAAGTCTCTCCCCCTCCCATCATTTATCACAAAAGCACTTTGCCAGGCAATTTTCAAAATGTTTCATTAAGGGGCAGCCCTAAGGCTATGTTAAAAGAGGAATTCCCCCTCCCCCCCTAAACTCATCAGAATAAGTATAGTTCAGGCTTTGAAATGATTGGATAGTTTACTATTTTTCCTTTAAGGCAGCATAACTAATCAGGTGAAATATAATGCTAAACTTAGCATTTCAGATTTCTTTGCTGACTTCAAGGTACAGAAACAGTGCAGAAAAGAAAATACATAGAATAGAGGTATGGAAGAACTGCTTTGATAAGACTTCTGCCTTCAAAGTTTCAGGAAAGTGCTGGGCAGACCCTGAGTTCCCTCCAATTTCCTCTCAGTAAGCAGCTGCAGGATTGAAAGCCAAGGCTGTCTTTTTCTCCAGGAGAAAAACTTTATGGAACTTGCTGGATCTTGAAAGAGGCAGGAATAGGCTAAGGTGCTACTTTACAGATAATAATGAGGAACCTCTTTATTTCCCTACAGCCTGATGCCTAAAGCCACTTAAGCCTCTGCTTTTCTGCTAGCATTTGTGGGGTGGGTGGGTTGGGGAGGCCTTCTTGGCAAAGGTAAGTTTCTGTAGATCCCATTTGGGGGTGAAATGTGAGGCACATATATCGATCTTAAATAGATGTCAACAACAATCTTTGTGGACTTAATAAAGCTCTGGTTTCCTTTCAAATCTAGTAAGATCTATGGTATGTATATAAAAAAGATAACACCAGGCTGATCTTGGATAATACTTCAGTAGATCTTTTTCCCTGTGGGCCCCAATAAATTAAAGGGAATCCTCAATAACTTTTTATCTCTGGAATGTCGTTATACTGTTAGGGTGATCTCCATTTAGAACCTATTAAATCAAGAACTACCACATTCATCAACTCAATAGGAATACAGCTTCAGAAGCTGTAGGATTCATTCGCCCTCCTGAAAGTATAAAGCAAACTATGAAGTTGAGGGAGGGAGACCCAAAACCAATAAACCAAGAATCCAGCATACAAAACAAGCAAAGAGAATGACTAATAAAATGTCAATCTTGTTTGTCTTGCAGGTTATTTCTGACACTGGATCCCTTGAAACAAACTCAAGCAATTCCTGCCATTGAAGGCAGGAAATCCCTGACAATCAGCTCAAGCAGCCATGTCTATCTAGAAATACTTAGCTGATTTTGGAATCTCAAATAATCCCATCCTCTGATGAATTTAAATCTTTCTCTTATCCTTGATTTGGAGGGTCTATTGATTTTAATAAAACATATTACCCAGCAATTGTTCATATGCAAGTATACATCACTCCATTGCATTGTAGTGATATATCTTTGTATAAACTCAGCTTGGCATGAATTGAGGGGCACAAAAATTCATATATAATAACTGGCTGTTAGTATTAAAATGATCAATGTATCCTTGTTTAGAAGTAGCTGAATATAATTCCAAATACCTGTCTCTCCTCTTCCCTCCTAATATTATTTTTATTTAATTACTCTTTCTTGGTTATTTTTAAATAATTGGTGCAGTTCTTACACTTGTTCAGATAGATAAATTAACACAGCTCTGAAAGCAACACACTTAATACCTTTCAATTCACGATGATTTACTTCTATTATTGGGCACAGTTCTGCCCAAATTTTGGATTTTATGTCCATTTCAGACACAGTAAACTGTGGTTTCATTTATCGTGGTTCATTGTATTATTCACTGTTGGATGCATTTGTACAACGGCAATACACAAATCAGAATGATTAGATGTGCACAAAACATTACATTTCAAAGAAATAGAGTTTAGCTGAGCATGTTGCAGAATCCTGCTTATACATGTGTGACCAGCTTTTCTGTGATTGTAATGGAATTTGTCTGTTCTTGCCTTTACTAAAGTCTCATTAAACATGGGATTACTCAGTGTCACCATGAATAAGATAGCAACTTCACCTGCTCACTGATTTTTTTCCCCATTCCAGAATTAGGTACAATTCTTTGAAATGAAGCTCTATTGACCTCACAGTGCTTATGACTGCCTGGATATCTGTCCAGTATCTGCTGTGTGTGTGTGTGTGTGTGTGTGTGTGTGTGTGAGAGAGAGAGAGAGAGAGAGAGAGAGAGTCTGCCTGTCAAATCAACCCAAATACTTGCATTTGTTTTATAGCTACACCATACACTGTTGGCCTTGTCCGGGGTTCAAAGCTTGAAGCCAACATCTGCTATTATAGCTCAACTGAGGGTCAATCCTTAAGTCATGATGAGAATTTTGGGGTTTTTTCCCCCAGTTTTTGCCGACAGTTTTCATGTAACCTGGCCCGTTTACCTAGAGCTCAAACATAGCCATTCCCTAATCTTTTCCTATTCACGCTTCTCCCGAAATTTCCCATTTATAGTCAGAACCAATAGAAAGCTATAGAAATCAGGGGAGAAACACATTCACGTTCCCCAAGCTTCCTTGTTTCCAGAAGTAGGAAGTGGGACCAAAACAGTTTTCTCCTTTGTGGGGGGGGAGGGATCTTGTGTTTCTACACATTTCCCCTTCCTGTGAAAAAGGGCGCACTCACAAAGCCCATCCACCCAGAGGCTTGCATCCTCTTTCCCTCCACCCCGAAGATGAACTAGAATTGCTGTTGTTATTAAATGGCTGCATTTATAATCAACCCAGAGGAAACAGTAAATCTTGGGTGACCTTTGTCTATTTTGGACAAATCCTGCTTTTCCCAGGCCACCAAATAAAATAAATGAATCAATAAGCAAAAAGGCTTGTGACTCTGTTAGCATTTTCTTAGCCAGGTTATTCCTTCAAGATAGAGGGAAGGCAGGAGAGATTGCATTTCAAGCCATTTGAAAAAGCATCTTTTCCCATCAGAAATTGCGATTAATATATGTTGTTTAAGATCCGTTAATCCCCGGGCTTTTGAAAAATTGCTGGGGTGGGGGAGCCTAGAGGGATTCTCCCGAGGAAAATCTAGGCCCGGTTTGGATGCTCCGCTCAGTTCTGCCAAAGGTCCGCTTTAAAGAGACGGCAACACTTCACTCAGGACTGACACTCCACGGAATTGCGCAGCTGGGATTTAAGGAGCACGTGTTGGGCATCCCTTCCTTTAACAGATTTTTTAATGAGCATCCAGAGGGTTGGACCCAACAAATAATAAAGGATCCAACAACTAATCAAGAAATAATCCTATTTAAGAAGGGACACCCAAGGAGATTTAGCTGTGTGGACAGACAGCTCGGTTTACTGATTTCAGCAGCTCGCTTCTAAACAGAGCTTAAACCTTAATTCGGTGTGTGTTTAAAGTAGCTCTCAGCTTTGCAGCCTTTTCTGTATACATTTATGTACTGGAAAGCAATGGGGAGGCACCGGTAATCCTCCAGCTTACTTCAAAGAAAGTGGCTTCAGAGTCACACTTGGGAGACCCTGGTTCATAAGCAAACCTCCATGAGATGACATTCTTAGAATAAAATACGGGGGAGATGCCCTAATTTAGGCAGCAAATACCTTGTGCCCTAATTGTGACCTAATAATAGTGGAACCCCTATGCATGTTGCCAAGTGGGGGACGGGACGGACGGATGGACCCTTGCTCGACCCAAGGGGGTTTACCCTTTACTTTTGCTCATGTAATTGTTGGTTTTGTTTCTTCTGTGGGCTTTCCCTGAACTGAGAACTTGAAGGCATTTCAGTTCTGGGGTATGCAAAGCAAGGGAGAAGTTACATGGCCTATGCTTTCCCTGAGCAGGCCTCCATCAGGCCTGGCGTCCCTCTGGCCCAATTTAAACACGGCGCAGCGGTTCTTAGCCCCTGTTGCTGCAACGGAGAGGGCTGCAAAGACGGCTCGTCTTCTGCTCGCATGCAAAGATCGATTCCGCGGCTGCCTCTGTGCCCGCATCCCTCCCGCGCGGGGATCTTTGCCCTTCACACGTCCGAACCTGCTACGGATGGAGGGAAATGCCTCCCAAGTAAGCTTTGGAGCTCTTTGGCTCCCACCAAATTTCCCTCCTGGCTTTCCTGGTTCCGAGACACATCTTATCAGGGTTGCTCAGTGGATCGGGGTGGGCTCTCTTCCCAGACAAGGCCCGGGAAAGGCTGAGCACTGGGAGGGAATAAGCTGTAAGCGCTAAGCTCTAAGAGGAGTGACCGCTGTCTGCAGACCTGGTGGTCTGCAGACAGTGGGGCAAGAGGGAGGGGGAGAGGCAGGGGTGGGTTCTAAATTTTTTTACTACCGGTTCTGTGGGTGTCATGTGACTGGGTGGGCATGGCTAGCTGGTCATGTGAGCGGGTGGCCATGGCTATGTGTATAGGGACTACTCAGAGGGCTGAAAAAAATCATTTCTGACAGGTCCTTGCACTTTTGACTCGTCCTCACACTTATGACCATCTTCACATTTATGCCCGTGCAGCATTCTTAACAACCATGTCACTCATTTCACAACTGCTTCTCTTCACCATGGTGACAAGATAGGGCAAAAAACTTAAAAGGACAGTCGTAAGTTCGAGGACTGGTCAAAAGTGCGAGGACCAGTCAAAAATAACCTTTTCAGCCCTCTGAGTAGTCCATATGCACAAAAGGACTACCCAGAGGGCTGAAAAAAGTGATTTCTGACAGGTCCTCGCACTTTTGACCAGTCTTCGCACTTATGACTAGTCATCATTTATGCCCATTGTAGCATTCTTAACAACAGTGTCACTCATTTCACAACTGCTTCTCTTCACCATGGTGACAAAATAGGGCAAAAAACGTAAAATGTGAGGACAGTCGTAAGTTCGAGGACTGGTCAAAAGTGCGAGGACCACTCAAAAATAACTTTTTCAGCCCTCTGAGTAGTCCATATGCACAAAAGGACTACCCAGAGGGCTGAAAAAAGTGATTTTGTCACTGCTACCGGCTTGGCCGAACTGTGCCGAGTCGGGAGGAACCCACCACTGGGGAGATGAAGGAAAGCTTTGCAGAGGCAACTGCGGAGGTGGCTCACCCTGACTCTGGGCTCCGTGAGGTTGGTCCACACCGCGATCTCCTCCCTCATGCTCATGTCCGGGTAGCGGTTCCTCTGGAAAGTGGCCTCCAGTTCCTGCAGTTGCTGGCTGGTAAAATGAGTCCTTTGGCGCCTCTGCTTCTTCTTCTTCGCCGGGTCATCCGCGCTCCCCTCCTCGCTTTTCTGCGCGCCACTTGGCTCCTTTTCTAGAAAGAAAGAAAGAGGGCCGAGGAGATCGAGACCACAATAAGGATATACTAATACTAATAATACTAATACTAATAATAACAATAACAATAATAATGTACTTGGTTGATACCTAGGACGCTGGCAGCAACCCATATCAATCAGTCAATACCAATCAATGGTATTTGTGATGCATTTTTGAATGTTGAGTTGACTGAGTTTCATGTTTAATTAATAAATAAACAATAATAATAAACAATAAACCATAATAAACAATAACAACAATAATAATAAGGATCAGTTGGGGTGCGATTAATAGTATTATTGCAAAGAAAATAAAAGGATTTCCGCCAGGCCTTTTAACCCAAGACAGTGCGAGTAACCGTCCCCCTGCAAACAAGCTGGCTAATACGAAAGTCTAACCTGAATCTCCCGTAAATTATACACCATTTTCGCAGCAGCGAAAAGGTTTGGATTGGAACCAGCTCCTCTGTTTCAAAAAGTTGGAGAATTGAAGGGTTTGCCTCTACAGAAACAAGGGCTAGAGATGACCTGCGCTGTTCTGCATAGAAGATGCAGAAAGCTAGAAAATAAGCTATGAAATACAGGGGGAAAAACACTTTTTAAAAATCATGCTTTTACGTGCAATAGAAAAATTCTGATGAAAATGAAAAGTTTCATTTATAAATCAGAATCTTTGTTCTCCCAAAAAGTAAGAAATTTACTGCTCATTTTGATTGTTTTGGGGCATTTTTCTATTATGCTGAGGATTTAAACTTACAAAGGATACAATATACACTTCTCCCAGGGATGATATAACTACATTGAGAACAACTTTATTTTCTTATTAAACTGAAGGAGTGGGAAGAAAGGACAGGAGCAGCTCTATACCTTGGGAATTTGGAATTTCTACTTTCAGGGTGAGCTTTCAAGGATCTCTCTTTATATTTAATTAAAATGACATAACATTAAGAAAACATGTTTGTTTAAACTATTGAGATAAGGATATTTTGCAAATTTGGATTTATCTCCGTTCAAAAATACAAAAATACAAAAAAAAAATGCATTTGTACACGAAGTTCTCCAGAAAGCATAAAATGTATTTGTTCAGTAATGGCTGAAGTTTGTACAAGTTTGAAGTGGCATGTCAATTGGCATGATCATTTCTTCAATCTAATCATTCAGGTAAATGGGAGAGGGAAGAAATCAGGACTTACTCAAGCCCCAAGTTTTATAGGCTTCAGTGCAAGAAATGTGAGGGCGCTCCTATTTTTAAAATGCATGGCAGTTTCCAGATACAAACAATTCACATTAGTTTCCAGGATAAACCCACAGGTTAAATTGACTGAAGGTTTCTCCCACTATGCTTTGGAAGGGATGAGATATAGTTAAGAATATGGATGCAATTTATTATTTGTGGAAGTGAATGTTTAGAGAACAAAGGGTATTCTTCTGAAATATTCTTCTGGCAGTCGGTTTGATATAGCAATGCTAAGGCATAAGACTGGAAACCAGGAAATTGTGAGTTCTAGTTTTGTCTTGGGCACGAAACCAGCTGGGTGACCTTGGGTCAGTTAATCCCTCTCAGTCCTAGGAAGGAGGCCATGGAAAACCACTTTCCAAATCTTGCCAAGAAACTGCAGGGAACTGCCCAGCCAGTGATCAGGAGTCAACACAAAAAGGATAATTCTACCATCTAAGGCCTAGATCCATGCCTACTGAAGAAAGTGTAGCTGAATTCAGGGGAACCCACCACTTTTGAAAAGACTTAATATTCAATTGAACACCTCAGCAATTCAGCTAAATGTCTCTTAAGGCTAATACTTTGATAACTAAATTATATTCAAACTGGCCAATTTGTAGGCTATAAATTCTAAAAAGTATAATGAGACCTGGAAATGCTTTCCGAGTTGATTAAGGCAAAGTCTTCTCTGTCCAAGAACTTATAATTAAATTGCTTGTGCAACAGTCACTGAAGTAGTTCATGCTGCAGTGTGATGGAGAGACTGAAGCAACAGTCATTTATCTTTGTAGGATTCTAGATATGCAATCAATTTCTAAATTGATATTATGCAAGTATTTCAAAAGAGTATTGGACAGTTGCTGATGTGTGTGATGTGTGTACAATTGCAGTTTGAATATATTGTAATTAAAACTAAATAGAAGATTCTGTGGAAGGATCTGTAGTTGACCTGGCTAATAATCCACGTTGTTTGCTTTCTTTAATAGCCTGCTTTAAATAAAATGCATGACACAGACTAAAGTGTGTAGTAAAGGAATTGTGGGTCTCCGCAATGTATTTCTGGAAAGTGAGAGGGATTTTAGAGAGTATTATCTTTTACTTCCTTCCTCTACAGACATTTAAGAAAGTCACCTTATTATCATATGCATCTACAATATGTATATGCTTAAACAGACCCACACCCGCCCACATTAATATTTATACATCCTTTTTATATTGAAAAGTCAAACTGCAGACACGATCCATCCAAAAATAAGCCCTTTATGTTCCCCTGATTTCAGCGGATTACAAAAGTGCTTTGCCCTTCTTATTGAAAAGAGTGAGGAGCTCAATGGCTTAATTTCAGCAAGATCAGATGCCACATAAAAATGCAGAAATTATTTATGCCTCTTGAAAGAAAGAAAAGTGGACAAGGAGCACGTGCAGGCACCGGCAAGATTAAATTCACATTTGATCCTTGTATAACCAGCTGCTGCTTGGGAAAAAAACAAAACACCCCATCCCATAAAGATATTAGGCAACTCTATGGTATGAATCGACTTGGGAGGCTATTCCATACACTGAAAACCTAAATACACGCGCTACAATCTCTCCTCCTTTTGAAGGCCTAGATTTGATATTCTTCCCGGAGGACTCTGATCAGAGAGATGTGTCAGTGTCCAGCTGGCAGCCCCCAAAGGACAAATAGTTAAGGAGAAGCGCAGCTTTCTTTCAATGCAGCTCAGAGAGGAGGGCCACTCTGGGCAGGGAAGCAGTTCACAAAGCCTACAAGGCCTTGGTGCTGCCTAAGGAAACTGTAGGTCCTCTTCAAAGCTTCTCCTCCTTATTCACCAGGGCCTCACCTAGGCCCTGGTACAACCCTCGCCTTTTTCCTAGCAAGGCCATGGAAAAGTGGGCTCAGCTTGGGACCAGTTTGGTGGCCTTGGCTTTTCTTAAGGCTGGACCTCGGAGAAAGTGTAGGAGAGACTGAGGGCAAGGCCCCCAAGCAATCTTACGTCCCCATCAGTCCTCAAAGGGAGGGGGGGCGCATGGTGAACTTTAACCCTTCTCCACCAGTGGAGTCTACCCCCACATCCCTGCTCCTCCAAAAAGCTGCCTTCTCCCTCGGGCTTTGATACAGCTCCAGAACGATCACTTCCCGCCAGCTTGCTGGCCTTTGCACTGTTTTCCACAGGCAAGAAGTGAAAACTAAGCTCTGGTGGGCCTAAGCAAGCAAGATGTTGCTTGCTCGAACCCTCTTCTCCATTAGGAACTAGAGCTTGGCACAACCATAAGGACCTCAACTTACACAACCACAAGGACCCTCAGCTGTGGTGCTCCTGCCATTTGCAAACCACTTCCGGAACAGCTGCTTAAAAAAAAATAAAAATGGGGACCTGACTTGGCGAGAAGGCGCTGCGTTTTCTCTGGGCCGCTTCTACCAGCATTCCCTCATTTATCTGTGGGCATGTTAAGAAGCCTAAAATTTATTTCAGTGGAAATCTAGAGGCAAAGGTGTTGTTTTCCAAAGGAATTAGACTTGCCCTATTGTTCTAATTCCCAAGCGCCTGCTTAATCTGACCCCTTCTATTAAATATTACCGGTGGTTCCCTGTTTTATTTTTCCTACTTGGCGTTACTGGAACGCATTGTATATCTTGGAACCAGGTCTCTTCACTCTTTCCTCTCTTGCTTGGGGAAATTGTTTCTCCAACTGATGCAACCGAATGCGTAAACATTACCAGGGGCTGGTCCCAAGGTAGCACAAGCCCAAATTCAGCAATAAATAGTGGGATTGACTTGAAGGGTTGCATTTTAAATTTACTTCAGTTTGGGTGAACTCGGCTTTATTTATTCAGATATGCCATTAATTTCCCGCAAGATCAAGCTGTGGCATTCAAATGCAGAAATTATCTGGAGTTTGAGAATTAGATTCCACTCTTGTGCCTACTAATTTGAAAGTTAAATTCTTTCCCAAAGAAATATCTACTAATTTCCCCAACACCTCTCTAGACTCGAGTTGTCTTCACTAAAGCAGGAATGTCAAAAGGCACAGCGCGTTTTTAGGTATTTTAGGTTGCCGTCCACAACATAATTGCTGGGAAAGGAGAAGTGCGAAGGATTCACTCTGAAGTTTCAGTCTGTCATCGAGGCGTTGTTCTTACTCATTTTTAGGAGTGAACTTTCCCAAGATTTGAGCCGCGGAGCACTCGGGGTAATTTTCTCAAGCAAGGAGCGCGGCTGGGCACTTGCATTTGGGGGGGGGGCGGGGGGGGGGGGAGCATTTTGCAACCCCCTCCCTTGCCCTGAAATCGAAGAGAACCACTTCTTCGGAGCAAAAGGCTTTTTCGTGTATTTAGGGAAGAGTTGCCAACGTAGCGTTACTTTGGGGTTGGCAATTGACACTCGTTCACCTGCAAATAGGGCTGACGGAGGGAAGCTGCAGCCGGTGTCCTTTTACACAACCTTCTCCTAAAATATGCCACTCCTCTACAAAGACATCCCGGATTAAAAGCAACGCCGGGCGGAATAAGATGTCTGCTCATTCCCTCGCCAAGGCCTTGAAACTTTCCTTCCTTCCTTTCCCCTCCACCTTTTTTTTTTTCCCCTTCCCTGCCTGAGTTTTGATGGGGGCCCTCCCGAGAGATCCTTTTACACGCCTACGCTATCCAGACTGGAAAATAAACCCAAACAAGACTTGCCGTGAGTTCGAAAACCCGGAGCCCGAACGGAAGGGCTCTTAAAAGAAACTCAAGGAGCTGCGTATTTGGGGGGGGGGGGGGGGGAAGAAAGAATAAAAAGTGCCAGTTAGCCTGGGAAACTTGAGCGCAAACTCCGCCACAACCGAGAGGGCGCGATGAATCTCACCACCCCTTCCTCGTTCCCATGCTGAAACCAAGGGATTCTGGGCCGCCCCTAACGTGCTTCTGTTTTGAACGCGGCTCCTCTCGCCTGATCGCGCCCTCCACGGTAGGGATGGAGGAGGGCGCTGGGGGGGGGGGGGGGGGGGTGTCTTTTCTGCTTACTTCCTATAAAACCGCGGCACCCCACCGCCCCAAACTGCGGGTTTACCTGGGGCTTCGGTGTCCGAAGATTCGCTGGCCGAGTTCTCGATCGGTTCTCTGCCTTCGGAAGATCTCTGCAAATGGAAGCTGGAAGCCATGTCGTGGGACGCCTGCGGGGTTCTCAAGCTGTCGGGAAGCCTTTCCAAATTCATCCCACCTTTAAAGGAATCCATAAGCAAGAAGGAGGCTGAGTCGTAGCCTGCGCGCCTGCCCTTTTGAAGTCTGCGCGCTGTCGGCTTGCAACGTCTTACGTTCATACAAAACTACGAGAGAGAGGAGAACTGCCAAGCTAGAGAGAATGACAGCGAGCGGCTGCCCAGGACGGTTCCACCGAAAGTCCACTTTACTTATAGATATATAGATATATATATATATTTAAAAAAAAATTACTTTTAAATCCACTAAGATTCGGCTTGGCTGACTGGAGGACAGGCACCGCCGAGCTTCCGAGCGGTCCGACTTCCCGGGGAAAGAAGCAAAGGCGCCCCCCTTGTAGGTAGCGCGCGGGAGGGGAGGGGGGGGGCCGAGGAAACCAGGCGAGTCGCTTGGGGTGGCCGAGATTCAAGTGACCTGCCCTGGAACGAACGCCTGAAAGTTGAAGCAAGACTCCGCCCCTTCTTTCTTCCTTGCCTGCCTCCCTCCTTCCCTCCTCCCTCCTCCCTCCCCGCCCCCACCCGCCTAGGAAAGTTCAAAACCTCCCCGTCCTCCCGGCTACTAGATCTCGTCCACCGAGCTCTCTCTTTCCTTCGCCTAATGGAGCCTCCTGCGAGCTCTCGGTCCCTGCCAGCGAGAGCTTCCGAGGGTGGGCTTCGCGCATTGGTTAAAGAGACCGCGCCCGCTCCCCGTCGGCGTCTCCCTCTCTCTCTGTCTCTCTCTCTCTCGCTAAAAAGCTGAGTTTCAGGAACGGGGCTCTTCTCCCCAAAGCCAGTTTGATTCTCCTTCTCTCTTTGCTTCTCTCCCCCCCCTCCCACCCCCATTCCCCACGCTCCAGGCAGTGTGGTTCATTCCAAGGTCCGCTTCAGGCAAGGGGACTTCTGCATTGAAATCACCAGAACGGGGGGGGGAGTTAGGGACTGGGGGTGGGGGGGAAAGGAGGAGATCGCTTACTCGAGAAGGGTTTCTATGGAAATCCGTCTTACTGGAGCGATCATTCAACTCGCCTATTCCTCCCGGCGAATTTTAACCAGAAAGGCAATTTGTTTCCATCTACGTCCGATATAGAAAAGCTTCCCCAGCGGTTGCTGTGGAAGTCTCCAGGGCTCAGGGTGGATGTCACTTCTGGGACTGATGGGGCTTAATTGCGGTGAATATGTGCAAGGTCGGCCTTCTATTCCACTGTTCAGCTACGTGACTCATGCAGAGTGCAATCCTAAATGCGTTTACTAAAAGACCACAGGACATGTTTCCGAAGAAGCAAGCAAAAATCCAACTCTTTCAGTGATTGCACGTGTACGTGTACTCAGATTTCGAATAAGTCAGCCAAGTCCTTCCACGTTTACTCAGAAGGATTTTTCGTTCCGGTCAATAGGCTTACTTCGGGGAGCCTTTTAGTAAATTTAATTGCGACCGATTTTTGAGTTAGACGTGCCATTTATAAACTACATCAGAGCTTAGAAACAAACTGCCAGGAAGTACTGTAAGCGGGGTATATTCTGTTTGAAAAGCTACGAGGATTTGTGTGAGTGTGTGTGTGTGTGTGAAACTAATAATGCATTATGAATGCTTCTCCCAATTTTAGGAGGGGAAAAAGCAGTTTAAACATTGAAACAGCCCAGAATGGATCTCCCCTTTGCCTTCTGCTTATTTTCTGGTGGCCCGCAAATGTTGACTCAGGGATATTTTTTTCCCGTAGTTCTGAGTCTGGGAGAGGAAATATAATATAGTACGATAGATTGAGAAGAATTAATTTTCATGGATCCCTGCCTGGTGTTTTTGGACGGGGAAATTGAGACTTCAGGTCTCAGCGCTTTAACCACATCCCTCGGCTTTTCCGAGTCCAACTGGAATATTTTTTTTTTCAAATCAAGGTGGAACTGCGCTACTATTTTGTTTTTTTTAAAAAAAAAAACCCAGGAGTTTTTAGGTGTCATTATAAACAACTAAGTAAGGTGCCTCCCCCGTTAATATTATTGACGGTCTTAGTAAAGAGCCGCCAGATCTTCTTTTTAAATCTCCTCTGGGTCATGGAAGTCCCTGTGCTTAAATGAGATTTTTCAATTCTATAAATCTGGCGACGAGGCGACAAATCCGTCGAAGTAAATGGGATTTGCCGGGTTCATAAACACCGCTCCTAAAAACGTACCAAGTCCTATCTCTGGATCCCCGCGGAATTTCTACTCAAACCGCCTAGCTTCTATTTTGGGCTGCTTTCGCGATTCACTTGCCATCCCCGCCTGCCTTCAACGGGAGCTTCGCCACAAACTTTTGGGATATTTAGGTAGCGCCGTGCCAACGCGAAAGCTGCCGGACCCCGTCGGCCACAAAGCGCTCGGCCGACAACTTCAGGAGGAGAGCTGAGGACTCCGGAGCCGTTCCCTCCGCTGTCCTGGCTGTAGTTCAACACAGATCCTCCTCTCGGCTTTGGTTTTCGCACTACTGGTGGGGCGGCCGGACTGCGGATGTGGACTCCAGCCCAAAGTCTCCGGCCTGACCCCACTCTAAGCAAGCCTCAACTTGTTCGCGGGGGCGAGGGGCGGCTCATCCCTCGAGTTCTGGCCACTGCGTGCTGGCTTCGCGTTGACACATTTATTCCACAAGAAGCTATGCCATACATTATGACTCATCAACCACAATGGCAAGATTCACTGAAGCATCTCTAAATAATAATAAGGAAGTGCGTGTCATGTCGTGGCACAGCTAGTTCTGTGAAGGTAGCTTTTGGGTTGAATTCATATTAAGGGAGATGAACGTAGCTCCTATGGATATCGGTGGATCTTAAATTGCAGAACAGCCCTTCAGCAATTTCCATTGCACTACTAATTTCTTATGATGTGTTGTCCAGCACCAAATACGTTACCGGTAATTGGCAAAAAAGGCCAAACGACCCCCGCTTGCTGGAAACTTTCTCTTAACGGGCTTATTGGGGAGGGAATTTCTGTTCTGGGGGGGGGTGTCTTTCTCTTTTCCAAGGCTGGAGCTCTTGGCTGCAACTCTCCAGGGAGCGATGGCTCTGAAGAACTCGAGTTCCAAGGCTGCCAGGCAGCGGCAAACCTCAGGGTGCTTTTTCCTCCGAGTTTTAAAAGCTGCGAATTACAACCCCGGTTCTGCAGGTGCAAAACAGACTAAAAGATCTCCCGAAGATCAGGTGAACCTCTCTATCTGCCTCCTTCTGGACCTGGAACGGTGTCATGTTCAGACCGCATTTCTGGGGTGGAGAAATACTACGGAGGGAGTTTTACGCGGAGGGAGGGAAAGGTGAGGGCCCTTTTCTGGAGAAGCCAACTTCCGTTCATCCCATTCTTTTGAGTCCGCTCTCTTGGAGCTTCTGCAGCATTCCCTCCTCCCACTCCCCGCGAGGGCTCAGGATGGAGGGCGGCAGGGTTAATTTTTCTCGCGCCCACCGCAAAACTTTTTGGAGAGCGCAGTTTAGAGCCGATCCACAACCTAAGAAGAACCGCGGAATGAGTTCTTCTCTCTGTCGCCCAGCCATCCAGGCTCCTACAATGCCATCTTCGGGACCTTTCTTTACTCTGCCGGAATCCAGCAGCACAGCAGCAACCGCTCTGGTTGAGATTCCCACTGTAACTCCTAAACCAGGAGCCTTTGTAGGCTCCTTCCACGCTCCCCTTTCCCACGAGGAGAAATCCGAGGAAATCTGTTGCCAGGACCACTCGGGTATCAAGTGTCAAAGGGGGTTCCACAGTTGTCCCCAGAGTTCGCCTCGGAAACTGGATTCCCATCCAACCGATCAAGTGAAGGAATTAAATCCCCCCCCCCATTTCTTCTGATAGTCATTCCTGCACATTAAGGCCCAGCAATTCAAATCCAGACTTTCTGAGCGAGCAAAGAAGCCCCTTTAAACTGTAAATAAATACAGCCTTAAGTCGAATTCGGCTCAGAACTCCCCATAACAATGCTGCAGCGAAGGGCAAAGAGCATTAATCCGGGGGGGGGGGGGGAGGGGGGAAACCTGAAGCCCTTCAGATGCTGGTCAACCACCACTTCCAGCAGCGCCACCTGCCAAGGCAATGGGGACCGTGGGGTGCAAAATCTCTACCTTACCCTCTTTGCCCTTTTGATAAAGCACCAGGCAGATCTTGCTCTATCAGCAGATATTATTCCTGGCAGCTTCTGTTCTCTGTCTGTCTGTCTGTCTGTCTGTCTGTCTGTCTGTCTCTCCCTCTCCCCCACTCACACACCTCCATCCCATGTTCAGAGGCTCCAAAAGGTGACCTCTGAACTGTAACGCTGCCTAATATTTGTCTATACTGAGCTCAGAGACAAGAAGAACCACTGGGGAGGAGGAGAAGAAATGACTCCTCTGACTGAAGTGCTCAAATAATCAAGAAACCAACCCACCCAACATCAGTTTCGGTTAAACAAACTCCCAAAGTCCAGTTATTTCACCCTGGTCGTATTAGACCTCTTCTATTAACCTCCCCCCACCCCCAAGCGAATAAGTGGAAAATATGTCAAATAAAGACTGAGGATTGGGACAGCGTTAGCACAACGTCATCACAATTTTCATGAAAAACCTCAACTTTACTGTGGCTGCTTTCAATACAACCACTGAAGCTGGATTAGGGTTAGATTCTTCTTTAGGTTTTTTTTTTTTAGTTTTGTACCGTTTCCCCAAAAATAAGACATCCCCTGAAAATAAGTCCAACTGAGCTTTTGGGCGCATGCACTAAAATAAGCCCCCCCTGAAAATAAGCCCTCCCCCAAAATATTTAAATGCATGCGCAGCCAGTCCCCGCCATTTCCTCTGGTTAGGGTTAGGGAGACAGAGCTGGAAATCAGGTAAGACTGCAAGAGGAGCCCCGTCTTGCTCCATGTGCCCCCAAATAATAAGACCTCCTTAAAAATAAGGCCATGTTTTAGGGTTCAAAAAAATATAAGACAGGGTCTTATTTTCGGGGAAACGCGTTATGTGTTATTTTAGGAAGTGGCTTACTATCTTGAGGAAACCCAGGAAATGGATTAATTCAGGAACCTAGT